TGTGAAACACGGTTGTTGTAGTTTTACAAGCATGTTTCACAGCTTGAATTTCATTGCCTTTTAAAACAATGTCACCTCCACAGAGAGGATGGCAAAGCTATTTTTTGAAAGTAATTTGTCACTTTTTATTATGTTACTACTATCATGCACAACTTTTTGCTCATCTAACATAATCCAAATAACATTATTAAAGTTTATAGCTGTAATTTGACTCAATGTAAAATAAGAAAGCATTAGGAAGGCACTGCAGGGCACTGACAAGCTCACAAGATGTTGATATGTGGAGAAGGTTAAAATTAGGAGAAATAATGTTGCAACAGTGGTAGAGAAACTAAGCAAATGAGATGCAATGAATGGATACTTAATAGTTGGTCTTAAGAAAGGTCAGGCAGTTTAAGAAGGTTGGATTTGACCTCACTGTAGAACTATTAAATAGGTGCAGGTGAGAGAAAACTAAACAGGTTGCTGTCTTTTTAATAAATCAGCTTCCTCATGCACGTTCTTCTGAGTATAAAAGTAGAAGATTAAAGCTGTTTAGGCTACAGGAAGAGAGCTATTAAACTCTTCACGCATATTACCTTTACTAGGAAAAACATCAGAAGAGAATTTTTCAAGTCTGATAATCAAAGTTATATTCAAAAGCTTGAAAACCTGTGTATGTAGCCTACTTACATCGCTTTGTTCTTAGTTATACTAACAGCACCCTGCTCACTTCCCTGCTTTTAGCCCCAAACAGTGTATGCCAGGACTAGACGAGGGACACAGGAGTCAGCTATGGGGGGGCTCCTATCTTCTGTAGATTACCAGCAGAAACAGATTTATCATGTTCCCTCCTGCTGTTTCTTTGTTGGATCAGTTTTAATTTATCTTTACAGGCCTAAATCAGAATAATTTATGAATTATTCTAAATTTTCCTATTTTTCGGAGAAAAGCTGATAACTTCTCATCAGCATTATAGACAGTCATAGAAAGTTTAAGAACAGTAGTTCAGGTTGCATTTTAATTTTTTCTCCTTATAACATGTTTTGGCTACATTTACAGTAATTATATGCTTTGATGGTTATCGTGAAAAGGCAGACAAATAGGGGAAGCTGTTGTTCTGGGTTATGGGTAATCTGAACAGTTGCCTTTTTTACCACAATGACTTCATAAAAGGTTTAATAAAAGGTAATTAAAAGGTTGAAGTTTGAGTACTTTTAATTTTGAGGGTTCAAGTTGTGTTCAGGCATTATTCCTCAATGAGAATTTTATTTTAGTCCTTCAAACCAAACTAATTTTGGTTTACCTCCATTGAGGGTCAGATACTTCCTCTCTCAAACCTGAGAGAGCCCAACCTAAAAATCCTAGAATATTTTTAATGGATATTTTGTTGAAAAAATATGCCTCAAACTGCATTTTTCTTTAATCAGTAGCAAAATGACTGCACTACTTAGGAAACATGAATTAAAAAATACAACATGTGCTGTATAGCTTAAATTACAGGTGTGTGATTTAATTTATTCCTGTAGCTTTAGCACATTTTTTACCAATTTACTGATAAATTCACATTCTAAAAAATGACTCATTACTGATATCACCAATAAAAACAGCAACAGAGAATGGTTAGAATGCAAATAGGTAGGGTTTACCTTTATCTCTATGTACATTTAAAAGTAGTTGCCTATTTTCTCTGTGCAGTTTCATGCAAAGGACAATATGGAGGTGGCTCACACAATGATTTTCTTTCATCACATTGTGTTTACTGCCCTCTCCCTGTCACCAACACTTACCATAAGTCTGGCAATTGTGAGAGAAGTGTGTGATTGTGGATTCGAGGTGGCACCTGTTCTTTGAAATTCTTCTAATATAACCCTCCACTGTGTAGGTTTAAAGTCATGAAAGAACATAAAAACTGCAGAGTCAGCACAAACATGGTCCATGTAGGCAAGTAGTTCAGCTTCTTCACTTCACACAGACACACACACACACACTCAGATTCTGCCTAACTACATACACAGCCTCTGCAGCATCTGCAGCAGCAGCCTTCTCTGCTTCAGATAAAGGCCCCATCTTATTATCAAGGACACTCGACCATGGAGGGTAAATGGGTGCATTACTGCACAAAACTAAAACATGTTTGTGACAATACATGTTGTTTTTAGATCTGTTGTCCTGTGATAGGCCTCACACCTCATCAGTCCTTTTCCTTTGCGAACATGGAAACCAGATCTGCAGTGAACTTAAGAATGGATGCATCCTCAGAAACCTACAATGGCCGGTATTATTTGGGGAAAAGGTTTCAGTGACAAATAGGTGGGTTTTTTATGAGTACAATGGTTTTCTTAAGGGTTATATTTTTTAGACAATCATTATAGGAAGATTTTTTTAGATTTCTCCTCTGAAAAGGCTCCTGTTTTGTTCACATCCTACTAGTATAAATGCTTATTTCTGCACTTTTGACCATAATAATCTAATTCTTAAAAGAATTCTAGAACGTGAACGGAAACTATTATCTTAATAAATGAGTCCACATACCGTAAAAAAAATGTATAAAGGCAAAATAGTGCCAGAGCCGTCTTTGGTTTTGCACATTTCTTCTCTGTTGGTTGGCCACATGAAGAAAGGTCAATGGCATGCAGCAATAGCTAAAATAACTACTACATTTCCAAACATATACGAAAACTCGGAACAAAAACACACCAAAGGTTGTGACTCACGCTGTGTTTATGCATGATATAGGTGAACATGTCAATGATGTTACAGGTAATGTATTGCCATCTACTGGGATGGGGTGTAATTTTACAACTAGTGGTATCCCATTTCTTAGGGAGAAAATCTTAACTTGCACTTCCCTCATTGAGTGGACTTCACCTTTTACATTTAGTCACTGAAAATCCAGATATGTACATTTAAAAAATGTATTGGAATGTATGTGACCAACACAAACTGAAAGAAAAATGGTGAATGGTACTCTAAACAAAAATGTTCTTGCCTTGTTACACTGTCCTAATTAGAATAAGGTTACACTGGAAATGTTGCAGCCATGCTGTTCATAGCATTTGCAACGTTGAAACTGTTTTTCACCAACAGGTTAGTTTGGCTTTAAATGACGATTATATACCAAAGGCAATTAAATACAAACTAAGTCATTTTAATCAAAATTACCCAAGTGGAGCACCAGTTTTCAGAAATGAGCAGCCAAAAAAGTCTAAGTCTCTGTCAGGTAATTATTAATGAATACCTACCCAGTCAGGTTGGCTGGGAGGGGACATATGCCTGGAGTGGCTCAGATGTCAGAAGTGCAGAGATCAGTCAGCTTCAACGCCAACTTCTTTGAATCAGCGGAAGGAAAAACGCTTCATAATTAAAAACAAGCCTCTCTTCTTCTAGAATCTTTGGCTTGGATTTTTTTTCTTCAAGAGCTCAGAGAGCCAGTTTCAGTCTCCTATTTGGAAGAGGTACAGTCCCATAAAAAATAAATAAATAAATATACCCTCACTTTACATTGGCTCCAAGGTTTAATCAAAGATGCAGTCTGTACCTGAATGTGCTCCATGCGGGGCTGCAACATTTAGCATGTAGCTCACCAAGTCAAATCTTGTTCTCTGCTAAAAAATGCAGCTTCTTCCACATGCTGCAGTAACCTAGATGACTTCTGACAAACTACAAAGAAGCATTTTTATGGCTTTTTTTCCCCTGCTTCTCCACAGAGGGTCATGCTTTGTAGAACACACTACTATATAGTTGTACAATATGTTATAGAACCTGTTATCAGTGCCCCCAAGTCAAACCAGAGATCTCTGCATTTCTTGCAGAGTTGCAGTGGGTCCCAGCTTAAACCATTACACATTAAAATATGCCCTCCATCTTGATACTGCCACCACCGTGTTTGATCATGGGGATGGTGTGTTTAAATTAATGAGAGGTTTCAGTTTTCCATCATACAGAAAAATATGCATGTAGGCCTGTTATCTTTAAACCTGATCTTAGTGCTGCTGTTTTATCTCTTATGCTTGTTTACTGATTGATTATCTCAAAAAGCTATTTGAAATGTCTAATCACCTGATAGGTGCTATATAAATAGAGATCAGTTGATAAGCACATCTATCAAAGCTTAAGCTTTTGCTGCTGGTTTTCTGACTTCATTTTCTTCCACACAGTAGGTCTATCTATCCTAAAGAATAAAAACATCATTAATCCTCCAGTGGCTTTGGGTGGCAACGAAAGGATCTCAAAGGAAGGAGTTGATTTATGGGTAAATGGCTGCTACCATGACAAGTAAAGTAATGGGAGACAGCTCTTTTTTTTTTTTTTTGTTAACAGTGTTTGCCTTCGCAGCGCAACATGAACATGGAGAGTGAGAAAGGACATAACAATAATGCTTCACTTAACCATGTACGGTAGTTTTCACATTACTACGGAGGAGAATAGGTGCAAAGATGAGGGATGTGTCTGTCCATAGTTTAGCTACTTTGTGGAAGTGGACACTTTTATGAAGCAGGTTATTAGCAAGTGTGTATGTGCCGCTGGGATAAAGAAAAACCAAGTGAGGCAGTCAGGGCTGTTTTCAGACAGCCGAGGTGAGCGGACAGGCAAAAAGGAAAGACAAGACAGTCAGACACAAAGAGGCTTCTTACATTTTCTGACTCAGATCCATGGCTTGGTTTGGCAGAGCTCCATATCTCCTGAATTGCAGTGTGAGAGGGTTGATGGGTTTGTGTGTGATAGCTGAGAGGAGGCTGCAGGATGTGAACAAGCGTCCCAGCCAGCTTCCCTTCAGTAAGACTTGTTCAAACGGGCTTTGGTCTCAAACGTCAGCTTCTGTTTTAGAAATGGGTGCAGCTGCTGAGATGAGTCTCACCATGCTGGAAAAAAAATAATAAACGATAGAGGGTTAAGAGGTTTGCATTTAATAAAAGATCAGAAGAAGATGTTGCAAATGTCTTTTTTTATTAGATTATTTAAAGGTGAACTCTTATTTAGTCCACCTAATGAGGCTTGCATTCCTAATTATTTTTCAGGCAGACCAGGGAGCAGGAAACGCCTCCAGATTTCTTCTACTTCTCCGACTTTGAGAGACACAATTCTGAAATTGCTGCTTTTCACCTGGACAGGTAAGCCACGCTATGGTTTCCCTCTGCCTAAACTCATGTTTAAGTCATCAGTGTTCGATCCACACAAATAATCTACAAGTGCTGGATTTGCCCTGCAACAAATTTTATAGGATTAAGTACACAGGATTTGATAACGCTCTTGGAGAAGGGATTATCCTGTCTGTTTTCGGTTGAGTATATTGATTTTAGTGAGATCCTTTGACTCAGAGAATGATGCTGGGAGCATGGTCATTATTGTAGACTTGCTTATAGGGTGAAACTCAACCTCTATTTTGAATTGGCTTTACATGTGTTGCCAGGAAGAGCCAGATGTGCGTCTCATTACAACCAGATAATAGGTTAAGCTCTGCAGGGAGGTGCCTGTTACCCCTAAAGAGCAGTTTGCCTGCTCTATTTATTTTCTTGTACAATTATTTAAGCTCAGGATACCAGTCAGCCAGTGATATACTGTATGGTTGATTCAAACTGCAAATGGAATGGAAAGAAACATCCAATTAGAATGGGAATACGTCAATTAAGCATTTTAAATATATATTCAACTTAAGAAGTTGATCAGTTTCTAATAGAACCACTAATTAGTTAATCGTCAATATAAATTATAAATATAACATGACACGTGATATCATTTTGTGTGCCTTCAGGGTTAGTAAAGCTTTTTTTTATCTGTATTAAATAGCTTTTAGGCATTGGTCACTTTACTAGAGTAGTATCTATAACCAGTATCCTTCTGACCACAAGCATAAAGCCTTCATATCTGACCCCTAGAGAACTACAGCAAAAAGTGGAATCAGGGTTGGCACAGTGGTGTCATTCTGTTTGATGATACTGAGGTTGAGAACCTTTTAAATTTAAATCTTGTTGGTTTTTGAATCAAAGGAAAACACTACCTTGTGTTTACTGTAAAGAACAATAAAGAATCTGTGTATTTGCAGGTCTATTTCTCCTCTAAATGACCAAAACATTTAAAGGTGACTCATTAGCTCTTGGGTGTATTAACCCACTGAAAGGATCACACCAACCTCCAGTTTCTGTACTGGTAAATAAGCGTATCTCTGCTATCGAACTACAAAAATGTTCAGTTGTACATATTATACAGTTCCACTTTATATAGACCACAACTGAATGATTTTAAGTATGATATGTCCGCTTTAAATACAAATACAAAGCTGAGAACAAGCATTTATTAGGTCTTTTAACAGAATAATAAAACAAAGCTTTTTACCCAAACCAATGCAGCAGTGGTTCAACAGAAATTAAAAATAACACTGCCTCTATTGCTAGTGAAGATTCTCAGTCATCCAGGTACAAATGAGCTGAAAAACAAGCCACTGGACTTTGTTTCCAAGTTTGAAGACATTTCAAGCCAAACGACCCCATTCCAAAGGGGAGGACCCGTTACTCCGGTTCAATTTGCATGTTTTATCAGCCAAAACAAGGCTTTTAAATCTCTATAAAGCCTAAAACTCAGCACTATTGCTGGCATTTCGAATTGAAAAAGCTTCCTGGATGGGAAGTGAAACGTCTTGAAATATGGAAACAAAGTCTTTTTTTTTTTTTTTGGAATTACCTCTATTGCTATTTTAGATGCCAGACCTGCAACTATGCCGTCAGGATTTTGCCAAAAGTCCACACACGCAATAGATACTCCTACGAGCAGCTTTACCTCATACAGACACTAATAAACTACTGCTCACGTACTTGTTTAACATGTTACATATGTACATAGAGTACCACAGGGCCCCAATGTATCACACCCCATAGTGCTTTTTCTCTCTCTCTTTTTTCTTCTGCACACGTTTGATTTGATATTTACATGTGTGCTGCCTTCCTCCACCTTGCACGCCTGTCCGGTACACTCAACTTTTTTCACTTTGAAGGCATTACCCACTGTCTACCTTTCAGAAAATCTTGCATTTTGAGTGTCTTCCAATTTTGAGCCCTACTTCAACATTTGAGCTTGCAGAAACTATCTGAATATTTGAAAATAACTTTTTTGTAGCTGTCCTAGTATATCTCTTTTTAGCAGACACACTGTAGTCGATCAGAATCCAGTATTAATCCTGTTATATCTAGTAATGACTGCTTACCAACTTCCAACTATTGAAGAGAAGCGGTTAGCCTGAAGTCGCTTTGGTAGAAGGAGGAAGAGTACCGCCTTTAGAGGAGGGATTTCCTGAAAAGTAGCAAATCACAGGTAGGTTGTTTTGTCCAGTGGGTAATGCCTTCAAAGTGACAAAAGTTGTGGGTGATTTATTGGGGTCCTGATGTACTTTATTTGGCATGTAAAATGTTTAACAAGCAAGTGAGGAATAGTTCATGACAGAGGTCTTCAACAGGGGGTCTGCGACCCCTAGGGGATCCACAGAGGAACTGCATGGGGGTCACGAAAGTTTTGGTTGATTAGACTTTTTGCAATTTTTTCCACTAATTGAAATGTCTTTAAACACACATTACCATGAATTCAACACACTACAGTGGACAGAAAAATGGAGGTAGAAGATGTCTTTCAGTCATCAATGCACACATTCAACGACACACAGGAAGCTGGGCATCGTTTCATTCACAACACCCGTCCCATCAACCAGGAATCAGAATCAGAAATACTTTAATAATCCCAGGGTGAAATTACTTTCATTACATGACTCCATATTTAATAGATTGACTATAGGACCAGTTTGATATAAAACACTTTCATTCAATATATATAATTAGGGGTCCCCGCTCCATCTTGCCATCAGTCTGGGGGTCCTTGGCCTGGAGAACATGGAAGACCCCTGGTTTCTGAGCCTCTATTTAAAGTAGACTTGTATACTTGTAGGGAGTATTTCATGGGTGGGTAGACTTTTGGCAGAATCCGACCCCATATGCATCCTGCAGAAAACCATTCGGGTGGGCAAAAAAAAAAAAAGAAGAAGCAGGTATAAGGAGTCTGGAGGATTGGTTGGAGATTGCTTTCTCTGTTTAATCAAGATCTTTGAAATGTCATTGAACAAGACTGTACTGACAAATATTGACAAAAAGTTTCTAAAAATATTAACAGCAGTTCTATAAATGTGCCAGTGCTATTTTGGTGTAAAAGAAAAGATACATTTTTTTCCTCTTTGTTTAAATAAATGTAACTATAAGCTTTTTCTTCGCTCTAAATATTACTATAATTGAAGTGTGAGAAAAAAAACAGCAGACTTTTTTTTTTTGTTACCAGAGGTACCTAAAAATGTTGCCAACAGAGACTCCTGCACACATATAGGTGCTCCTTTGTCACTTGGGTCCAGCTAGACGGTGCAGTTTTCAGGTCCTGAATGCGGTCCTCTGTAGGGTACAGTTTCATATGCTCACTCGGGCCATTTGTGTGTCGGTCTGATCCCAGGAGGCTCACATTTAGTCTCAGATGGTTTCAGGGTCATTGGGGCAGCAAACATACAGTGAGGTAGGCTAAACAGGAGCTGAATAGGTACAGTGTTCAGATATAGAAGCCTCAGAGAGAAAAAAAACATAGGATTGGACTTGTTGAATGCAAATAAACCTGAAGCATACATGGAAAAAGACATGAATACACATGTTTAGGAAATCTTGTTATTGTGTTGTCTCTTTAAGACACATTAAAATAAGGCAAAAAGTATGCATTTTTGTGTTAAGTATGATGTGAGCAAGAAACCAGAAACACTGAATGAATTCTGAATTTTTCTGGTGAGTTAAAACCAATTCTATCAAATAATGTAATAACAAAGTTATCTGAGTTTTCTCCTTTTACTGTTGGGCATCTTCATACAGATTAACACAAAGTTGTCTGCACATGTCCACACAGGAAAATCCGGTCTGTTTTAAATCATATTCCATCCCACAGAAAATGTTGTTTTAATTTTTTTAATCATACTATTTAACATATTTCTTAATATTTGTACATCCTGTGACACTTAAAGGGATTTGGCATTTACTGAATATTTATGACAGCACATGATGAAAGGAGTAAAATCAGCTCATAAAAAACTGAGCAGGGGCTCTTTGTTGACACTTTCACAGAAAGGTGCTTCCCAGCTGCATGTGAAAGTTGGAAACTGTGAAAAACCAAGAAACCTGGATGTCAATAAAATCAAACATTCCCTGCGATTCTCATCAAACTCTAAATCATCTCTAAATGTTTGTTTCTCCATGTCATTTTAGGATCCTTGACTTTCGCAGAGTGCCTCCGGTGGCAGGGCGACTTGTCAACATGACAAGTGAGATCAGAGATGTGACGCGTGACAAGAAGCTGTGGAGGACTTTTTTCATCTCACCAGGTAGAGATCCTGTCTGTTGCTCCAACCTGGCAGTGAGATGTAAGGCGATGAAACAAACTCAGAGGAGCAGTATTTAACTGTTTTCCTTTTTCTGCAAACCAGCTGAGCAGTCTGGAAATGACGTTTGCTCTAGAAGTAAGACCCATCAGGCAGACAAACCTCTGGTCTCCTTTTCCAAACAGCAGCAAAGGCCTGAGTGTATTGTAGATATAGCAGAGCAATGCAAAAAGTGTACTCATGGTGGCACTGTAGGTCAGCATTTTGTCAGTAAAATGACAGGAACTCTATTTAGGAAACAAATAAAATAAAATAAAAATTAAGATGAAACATTTAAAAGAAAAAATCCTGAAAATGTAAAGTAAAATTATCTTAATGATGGGTAGAGGTGATGGGGAGAATAAAATCAGAACCTAAACAAAAAAAAAAAAAAAAATGGCGATATACCAAATTATACAAAACTATTTTAAGAATTGATAATAAAAATGAATTGCAAATGAATAATAAATAAGATAGAGATTATTAATTCTAATACAGCAAAGAAATCGCATTTCATTCCCTTTATTACACTTATTCTTAATCATCTTTATTTGTCATTTCAACTTTGTACATTACAATGAAATCGGTCTGTCTTAATAACACTTAAGATAAATAAACCACTGCCAGGTTCTTTTTTAAGTAAACCAGGATCACTGCTGGGGTTTTTTTACATCCCCACTTCTTTGTCATTTTCTCTCTATGGGCATCCACAATTTCATCGTTATCTGTATCTGTCTCCCCTTCTACTGCTTTAGCAAACAATGTCTGCTTCTATGGTGAATGCTCCTACTACTGCTCCACTGAGCACGCTCTGTGTGGTAAACCAGACCAGATCGAAGGCTCCTTAGCAGCCTTTCTACCAGACCTCAATCTGGCCAAACGCAAGACCTGGAGAAACCCCTGGAGACGCTCCTATCACAAGCGCAAAAAAGCAGAGTGAGCAAGTTTATTTTAATTACTAAAAAAAAGTTATATGACATTAATTATGGAGGGGTTTTTTTTATTGCATGTTGAAATGTATCTAAATGCTAAATTTCATGCTTTCAGGTGGGAAGTTGACCCAGATTATTGTGATGAAGTAAAGCAGACGCCCCCGTATGATCGAGGGACCAGATTGCTGGACATCATGGACATGACCATCTTTGATTTTTTAATGGGTAAGCCGGCCAAATAATTTTGGTTAAACTCTCATAGTAATTAAAGTACCTATTATAACAATTATTTTAGATATATAAGAGATGAGGAATGTTTTATCACTGTAACACTTTCCTTTGTATTCAGGCAACATGGATCGTCATCATTATGAAACCTTTGAGAAGTTTGGAAATGACACTTTTATCATTCACCTTGACAATGGAAGAGGGTAAATATATTCAGCTGTTTTAATGCTTTCCTCTTTTGGCTTTAATTGTGTTGTGCTTGTGTCTATCTCAATAAAAGGTTTCTGGTATTTGAGAGTGCCTAAATACACAACACATTTACAATGTTCAAACAACAGATATAGTCTAATTATAAGGGATTTTATGTGATAGACCAACAAAATACAGTTTAGTAGTTTCATTTCAAATATTTAATGATTCTGAGCTAATTGCATTTAAGCAAAACTGAGTGGCATGCAGCTCTGTTTATCCCTCAATGCTTCAATACAATACCGTAATAAGTGAAGTGTCAGTCTCTGTGTCTGTAAAAACCTCAGAGTTTACTTAATACTAAGCAAACTAAACTATAACCAAGAAATTGGGCAGATATGTCAGTCATTAAATTATGTAGAAGTTTAAAGCAGGTTTAAGTAATTGATCACATTTAGTGCACTGCAGATCACTGTTCAATTATAATGCCAAATTGATAAGATTATAATGGTAAAAGATGCAGGCCTAAATGTACATGTCTATGGACCTAAATCACCATGGCAGAGAAGGAGAGCATTAATCAGATAAGCAGCCAAAGAGGCCTATGATGACTAAACAAGAGCTCAGGAGGGAACATTTGTTAACGGGATACTTATTAGTCATGCAATCTACCAATATGGCCTGAATTGAAGAGTGTCTATAAGAAAAGTATTGTTAAAAGAGTTAAAAAAAAGAACAAACCTTCCCTGTTCAAATGGGGCCCAACTTAAATAGTTAGACCTAAATAGAATACACTATAATGAACTGCTCCCCATGATGAAACATGACGGTGGGTATATCATGCTGTGGGAAGGTTTTTCTCTGTTCTTTGTTTTTTCTGTTTTTATTCTTTTCTATCTATGTTGTTGTTTTATGCTGTTCGCTATGAGTTGTGGTGTCGTGTTAAATCCTAATAAATCACATTAAAGTTGTGACATGACAAAATGTAAAATAGTTGGAAGAAGCATGAGTAATTATCATTGAAATATTATTCATTTACATGTCTGTTTACTCTTTAAAGACTGAATACTGAATATATCTGTGATAAATCACATGTTCATGTTTTTCCCTTTGGTTGTAGATTTGGAAAGCACTCACATGATGAGCTGTCCATCCTCGTACCTCTCAGCCAGTGCTGCAGGTCAGATTTTCTGTCCATTTCCTGATAGATTCTATAATCTTGAATTACCTAAGCAAATGTTTTAAGGATTTTATGCACACTCTAAGGGAAAAAAACATCTTAGGTCAGAAGGGATGTTATAAAAATGTCACTTTATCCTCATCCTTCAGTCTCATCCAACAACAATCATTCTTTGGGATTTTGTTTTACCTTTACAAAACTGCAAACAGTAGTGAAACTTACAGTGAGGGAAATAAACATTTAACACCCTGCTATTTTGCAAATTCTTCCGTTTAGAAATCATGGAGGGATCTGAAATTGTCATCATAGGTGCATGTCCACTGTGAGAGACATAATCTAAAAAAAAAATAAATAAATCACAATGTATGATTTTTTTTAACTACTTATTTGTATGATACGGCTGCAAATAAGTATTTGAACACCTATCTATCAGCTAGAATTCTGACCCTCAAAGACCTCAGGAGGTTCAAATGCTTATTTTCATCACTGTAAGCCTCTCAGCCCATGATCTCCTAAAATGCAAACAGTAACACTGCTTGTCTTGCAGGAATCATATTTTATTATATTTGTTTCTCGTCCTTATACAAACAAGTTTTCTTTCTAGATCAAACTTAACATTCTGCCATTAACTTCAGTTAGATTTTAACTTAAGTTAAGAATCTAATGAAAGTCAAAATGTACGGGTTAAAAAAATAAACTCTTTTTAAGAAGCTGAATGTATTTTGTTGTTGTTCTTGCTTTAGGGTCAGGAAGTCCACTTACTTGCGTCTCCAGCTGCTGGCCAAAGAGGAGTACCAGCTGAGTTCACTCATGGAGGAGTCCCTTCTGCGGGACCGCTTGTCCCCTGTACTCATCCAGCCTCACCTCCTGGCCATGGACCGGAGGCTCCGACTAGTTCTGCAGGTTCTGGCGGGCTGCATAGAAAAAGAGGGCTATGTTAATGTTGTGGAGGAGGACCTCTCTGGGGACACAGCTACTCACAGGGGCCCGGGCCATAGGTAGTAAGGGTGAGAGTCGTACAGGGTGACAGCACTGACACGTAGCCCTAATGGACCACAAGCAGCATTGCCTGTTTACCTATTGGGATTGGACCAGAAATCCCACCTCTGAAATCAAGCTGAATTCAATGAATTCCAAGACTGCCGTCATTGCCTCTATAGAAACTGCTTTTAGGTGTGTTTGTATAAAAAATAAAATAAAAGATCATGCTTATGTGGAGGCTTTATAATTGTCATATACAGCCATATGTTTTACTTTTTTATTGTTTTGTTTGATCTGTTTAAGACATAAAGGAACATCTGCTGTGTTTTGGCTTTTGTCCTGGTATGTTTTATTTTGTTTTTGCAAATACATAACCAAATGCATCACACTGACTCACTGACTGACTGAAGGGCATATAGTCAGACCTTTTAAGCTTTATCATTTATCGTGATATTACAGAAGACTTTCTTATAAACAAAACAAGATTTATTGTTTATAGTGAATGTTCCAAAGCGTATCTCATGCCTGGACGCTAAAGTCTTACACAAAGCAGAGTATGGGTTTGTCCAAAAAATGTTTGTAAGCTTTATTTCCCTTGGCACAAATTTACAGGATGACAAGCTAGATTTAACTACCTACTTCAGAGATTAGGTATGTATTTTACACTGTAGAACATGAAGCTTCTTTTTTTAAATTTGCCTTAGTTGTCTTTTTTATTTTTTTTCAATTTTGCACTACATGTAGTTAAACAAAGAGCATAAACAAAAAAGTAAATACATATATACACCCTCTTGTGTAACCCATGTCTTTCCATCTTTAAAAAATTGTTTGTTTAATTTGCTAAGATTTAATTAAGCCTGTCTGCAGTATTAAGTCATTTTTTTCCTCTTTATTCTTTCATGCAAGATTTGATGATTGAGTTTTTATTTATTTTTGATTTACATAAAGGAGAATACCCTGCTGTTACTTATTCATTATACTTTTGTTTTAAATACTCATCTTGAAAATTACATACAACTTTTCGAGAACTTATAGGTTGCTGATGAAGGTTCTCAGTCATCCAGGTCATAGTCATTGCGTAAAAATTCAAAAAATATCCACTGGACTTGGTTTCCAAGATTTGAAGACGTTTCGCCACCTCTCCAGGAAGCTTTCTCAATTCAAATGTCTGGATCCGCAGTGAGTTTGAGTCTTATATGGACAAGGCCTTGTATTGCTTGGAAACATGCAATGGTAACCGATGAATGGGTCGTTTAGTTCCATCGTTAGCCTGTAATATCTGAACCTGTCTGTGATTCTAGGGGTCGGTCGTTAAAGGTATAAGACTCAAATACACTGCGGATCCAGACATTTGAATTGAGAAAGCTTCCTGGAGAGGTGGCGAAACGTCTTCAAATCTTGAAAACCAAGTCCAGTGGATATTTTTTTAATTTTTACGGAAAAACTTATAGGTTGCTTTTCAGACCTTTCCTGGAACTTTCAGAATCTTTCATGGTAATTTCCCTCAACTAGTTGTATTAGGTACTCTCATTGATCTTCCATTGACACTACTAGATATTTGAAGAAACCCTTACAAACAGACCATGTATTTTCAGGAACATGCACTATACTTTCTGGAACTTTCAAGGAAAGCTTTATATTATTATTTAACTCATAATAATTAACTTGATTTACTTAAAAGTAAGTGAATTAATTTACTTACATTTAGGAACCAATGATGTGAATTGAAACAAAACTTTATTTGACTATTAGTTAGCTGTTACTATTGTTAGCTGTTCCAGAAACCCCCAGGTGCTTTGCAGACTTTCCAAGAGAAACCACCTTTAAATCAACCCATGACAAACTCTGCCTCCAAAAGTTATTTACAGTAAAGCTATTAGAAAGGCTCAGGAACATGTCAAGTAAGTTCTGAGAGATTTCAATTAAGGTTATATTATTTACTTGTAAAGTTCCAGAAAGGTTCCTGGATGTATCCTGGAAGTTTAAGGAAGGTATGGGCTGTATCTTGCATTGCTAACATCCTTTTTATTGTTTACCATAGAGATTGGCATTCCATGGTATATTTTTCTGTTCTGGTGATGCCAAACTACAAAGATGTTTAATTTTATAGATTAAGTTGTGCAAGTATTGCCAGTGCAATTGTATTTGTTTATGTTTAATTTTCTAGGGGTCCTGTGTATTGGCTAACCTGGTACTTGTGCAATGGCAGATCTGCAGTACTTGAATGTTTTTGGGTTGGCAGTATTAACAGATTCCCAGAGCAGAAAAGTGTGAAGTTGATTAAAACAACGTGCTTCTGGGTGAAAAAGGAAAACAACACCTCACCCAGACATAGGGATAACCATGGGACACTGTTTCATGTTTTTGATATTTTCTGTGTAAATACCTATTACTATTTGGAAGATCTATCAAGCTGCACTGTGCAGTGATTTGCTTCTGTTTTCTTGCATTGTTACTGTGAAGTTTATGACATGAATAAAGTGTGCAATAACAAAAAAAGCTGCACAAAATTGCCTGTATATTTAGATATGGCTGCAGATGTGTGAGCTTTTTTGCCTGAAGGGCTGCAAAAGGCGTTTAAAATCCTGTTGCTGTCCATGGTGCTGAAGATATAGAGCTAGTAATCTAGTGTTTTATGTGACTTGCCTGAGGTGCTGCTGGACGACCATAGCATTTCCGTCAGCAAGGGCCATTAATAGCGCAAACACCAGCACCAACTTTTCTTCAGCTACAATTAAAACAGAGCCACGTGGAGCATATGAGATTGTCAATGATAATAATTGGACCCATCTGCAGGGCCAGTAGTGGGGATACAAATGACATCAAGGTGAGATTTATTTGGGAATGTCCTTTGAATTATGTTTATTAGTGGATCCTATTTTTGCATTGAAACACTTGTTTTTTATGGGCAAAAAGCAACAATAAAAAAGAAAAAAACTATATATTCACCATTTTCAACTCAGAGTGAACAAATGTACACTCTTTTTGTCAGTAGAGGGAGCCAGTAGGCAGCTTTTCAGATTAAAAAACAAGTAGTATGATAGCTCACTAGATGGCACTAGAGCTTTGTTATAGTAGCTGCCTTGTTTACAATTGTGACGTGTTTTGTTGTCCTGAATTGACATCATAGCTGGGAATTACTTTTTGTGTTTCTCAATAGATATTGTTTAGTGAGTTTTATAGTAGCTTGAGAACTAGGTTGAGATGGACATCCATCTGATGGCGTAACAGTGCAATTAAAGCTTCTTTATTTGAATAAACAAAAAGCCACCTAAAGACTGTGGATTGAATATATATTAAAAACATATATATACATTTGGAAAGACAGTAATGCTCTCAATAAAATTGTTTCTCCTTTTTTTTTGCTTTTTTATTGAAAAAGCTATTAAGCTATTAAATCATATATCGAGATGTGGTGTACTTATTTTGGTTATTGTACGCTTCCTAATTTTAACATGGTAGCATTCTTAAGATAAAAAGTTTGTAAGACAGTGTCTCATTGGTCTTTGCCTTCAAAACGTCAAGAGTATCAACACCATTCTAGATCACTCCCAATGGGTATTGATGTTGTTTACCCACCGCAGCACACCAGCCCACATCCCCCACCTTATTCAGGGGCAGCTTATCCTGCCTAGTAACAACATCAAACTCTACTGTCCTGCCTCTATGGCAACAGAGAGACACCCTTTTTGGCCTGCTTCCGATTGATCCGAGGTATTTCTGGTTGGCTCCTCAAACACCCAATTAAACTAAAATGGATGTACCTTAAAAATCTGAATGAATATTATTTAAATAAATGTATTTTACTATCATAGTTCAGTTAAAAATGCTCCAGAATTATGGTTATTGTTGGTGTAAGGGTGAAGGGAGGCAGGACTAAAGCCCCCTTCTGCTACAATAGCTACATACTTTTTAATAAGCTGCATGTCAACCGAATATGATTATCTATAACACAGGTAAATTTCCCTTTGCTGTTGCAGTTTACATAGAATCTGATGTAAGCAATGTTGCTGTACTAGCTGTTTGAGGATGTTTTAAGAAAAGCTGTTCAAAACTTTTGCAGTATTAAACAAATTTTCATTGTGCAAATGTTTATTGCTATGCTAGAATTTAAGAATTAAATCATCTTAGTGAAAGAGGGAAACGTTCACCTTCCACTTATGATTCTTTTTAAAGAAACTCTGTCTTCCAGTCAAGATTTAGAAGGTTTTTATATCTAGGAATTATCTATATAATGGCCATTAGTTTAGCAGACTTAAAAATTGCTAGAAGTACAGTGTACAAATAAACTCATAAATTATTTTCAAAAATGCCAAGCACTCTGCAACTTTTTACTTTTTCTACAAGTAAAACTGATTTGATACATCCTTATATATTGTTTTTCAGTCAGCTCTGTCAACACAACAGCAAACAAACACATATACAACAAGATGTCAGTTTTAGAGCTCACATGTTAATATTTAGGGGGTTCCGGAGGGCTTTATTTCAAACTACAATCTCTTTCTGACACAGCAACCAAACCTGACCAAAATTTGACAGGAAATCTTAACGTAAGAAGAAATATCTAATTTTTACTGTCATGGCTATATGAAGTGGTTTTTTGTTTTACATATTTGTTAAGGTGATAACATTGCTGTAATAATTCCCAATAATTGCTGGCCTTCAAAACAGAGAGAAAGTGTGTTAGTACAATTAGAAAGAGTTACAAGAACTATTGTTAAAAGTAGCAATATGGAAGGCAGAAAAGTGGAAGTACACAAGGTCAATTGTTGAAAGCAGCAGGTAGTGGATAAGATAAGTAAAGAGGAGAGTACAAGGTGGAGTAACAGAAGGATTGATGCAAATGTTTATGGAAACTAATATTGGAGCCTCATCAACATATTCTATATACAAGTCTATCTACCTTAAAAGGGTACCCAAAATACTCTATTATGTCGACTGAAAAAAATGCAACCTGTGTCAAAAAGGTTCTTGAAAGAGCAAAGTAAAATGCAAAATCTTTATTTTAGCTAAAACAAAGTAACAGATGAGACTAAGCCTTAGCAAACTCCAGGATTGGCTAAACTGATTACGTTGTAATTCCATGTAGTTTCTTCTATATATGTTCTCCTACTACACCTAACCTTTTCAGTCACTCGCAGGGCAATCTATAGAGAAGTCAGCACGTATGCCATCATCAAAGAAAACATACAGTAGTCAGGACAGGCTTAAATACGTGCATGCAGCACATGGGTAGCAACTGTACAGGTTTCAGGTGATTTCAGTAGGGTGTTCCAGCTCTTGGTTGGCTGTCTGGGTGAAAGTGGTGGGGATGCAGGAGTTTGCCTTGCAATCAAAGGGTCATTGGTTCAAACCCCAGCTCTGGCTTTTATTGTTGTGTCCTTGTTCAAGACACTTCATTCACGATGCTGGTGATGGAAGTCAGAGGCCCACGTCGCATCTGTGTAGACCAGCCTCTCTTATGTCAGTGAGCCTTAGGCCAGCTGTGATGGTGCGATTTAGCTTGCCCCCATCAGTGTGTACCTGGATGACTGAATGCAGTGTAAAGCTCTTTGGTCAAATCTCCTGACTTGAAAAAGTGCTATGTGTCAAGGCTCGAACAGGGAATCCAGTTTTCAAAGCAGAAAGACAATTAAATTTCTCAAAAACTTATATTCAGTAAAAGGATTTGCTGTGAAAGGCAAGGGCGTCTAAGGCAGGAACCTCTGCAGGGAGAGAACGCAGATGTGTGACCATGTCTGGCTAGCAAAGGATGAATATGAATGTGTGAGTCACTAATTTGGTCTTAAAGTTCAGTCCATGCCCAGAGGAAGAGGTTGGTTCCATCCGCTCGGCTGTCAACAAGACGGACGATGCCCAGAGAGTCCCAGAAGTTAAAGTCCCGGAGACCACAGAACCGGCAGGAGATCAGAACCAAGCAGACGAAGGAAGGCAAGATAATCGAGAGGGAGAAGCCAAATTCAACGTCGAGGATGTGCGCAGGAGTCAGAGCCAGGAGATCAGAGATCTGAGGAGGTACTAAAAGGAAATCCAGGACGGTGCCAGGAATCAACTCCAGGTTCGGTAAATAGGCAGAATACAGCAGGAGTCCAAAGACAGGTCAGGCAAACAAATTAGAATGGGAACAGGCAGGCTCAGAAGTTCAAAGTTAAAGAATAAGAAACACTTAGGTATGCTAAAAAAAACTCTCACCAAGGGCTTGAATAATCTGGCACTGATGACTGGTAGAAGGCAGGTTAAATAGAGGCTGGAGCATGTGACATAGATGAATGTTATTGAGAACTGGGAAAAGCTAGTTGAAATGAGAATGAAATGAGTATTCAGGCCAGTCATCATTGCCAAGATCTATGTAAGTAAAGCAATCCTGTTTTGTCTTTAGATGTTTACAACAGAAATATTCCACATTTTCATTGAAATAACCAGACTGGAAATGATCATAAATGCTGTTTAGCCTTGCAGAGGAGTCATTTTGGACATGCCTCAGAAAGGACGTTTATATACAGCTGCCAGGACAGAGAAAGACAGTGGTGAAATAGGATATACAGAGGCTATATTAACTTAACCTAGTTCACAGAAACATTGATTTGTATGTCTGCAGCCATCTGCAAACCGAATGCACATGCTTCACCGTGTGTGTGTTGCTTTTAAACTGAAATTAGACAGACTTTCAAACACTTCTTCAGAGGCAGTCGTGTTTAACCCCTGTCTATCCCTATTGATGGAAGCTGCAGGAAAAATCACGCCTAGCTCAGATTCGCATTGATCAAAAGAGATGCATCCCGTGGAGGATAACCGCACCAAAACGATTCAGGCGCAAGAGCTTGAGCACGCTCTGCATCCTTGCGCATTGCTTGGCTGCATTAGATAGTTGTTATTGAGCTCCATGCTGCACAATAGTCTTCAGAGCATTACCTTTAAATAAGACTGATGTGATTTGATGCTTTAAGGGCTGACTGCGTCAAGAGAAGAAAGTGGAGGAGGCCATGATGAGGCAGACAAACACATATTTTTCATGTCATTGTGATTGGTCAGTCTGATTGGTTTTAGATTAGCTTCAAAGAGAAAGAAGTGCTGCTGCTCATCTCATTGTGTGAGAATAAATAATTGTTTCTTTATAGCGACTAAACTTGGGAATGTCCTCCTAGCTGGCTATAACTGGAAAATACCAGGATACATTTTTATTAGGCCAAGGCAAAATGAGATTCAGGCACATTAAGGAAACGCTTAGTGTTTGTCTGCTGTGACAGAGTCAAACCTCCTCCAGTCTGCCGTCAAGGTCAGACTGAGGCGCATCCTTTTGCGTCAAGGAGGAAATAAACACCGAATCAATCGCCCTTGAACGGCGCGAGTTTGTTCACGGTAATGTGCGCAGCAGAGGCTGCTCGTCTCGTCTGGACGTGCCAGAAACGTCTTCGGGCCACTGCCTCAATTGCAACCGAGTGCCATTTACAGTGAGCTGCTCAAGTGGCTGAGATATTCAAGATGACGCTTCGAGGTTTGTTGCAAGGAGCCAACTGAAACAACAGGTGAGGGGCGCTGATGTTAATTATAGACGCACCTGGACTATTTATTATTTGATACTCAAAGCTAATAGACAATGGAGACACAGAAATCATATCCCTCTACGACCTTCTTTATTTCAGTATTTGCTTATATTGATTACTCATTTTGATATTCTACACTACAAAAACAATCTAGAAAAAAGTAAAAAAAAATCTTTAATTAAGTGTATTTCGCCTTAATTTGAGCAGGTAAATTAGATCATTTGCCAACAGAGTACTGTATCTTAAAATAAGACAATTAGGTAATATGCACTTGAAATAACAAAATTCTATTTTTTTTTTTCGTATTTTAAATGTAAATTGTCTTGTTCAGTTTGCAAAATGTCTCAGTTTCCTCATTAGTTCAAGAAAAAATGCACTTATTTTAAGAAAAGAAGGATTTAGATTTTAATTTTTTGCAGTGTAGCTGATATTAAACTTGTATCAAGCAGCTTACAATTAAAACATAAGGCTTTAGCTTTAAAGGGACTTTGTGAGCGCTTTTTTTTTTCCAAAAATGGCTAAATCATTGTTTATAATGATTTGTTGATTCATTTATTATGTCGTGGCGCTTTTGGCACTTAATATGGTTGCGAATAGGAGGAGAGTCTCACTCAATCCCCTCCCTTCCTCTCCTCTCCTCTCTCACTCACTCCCTCTCCCTTCCTTCTTATTTTCATTCATGGCACAATCAGTGACATGCACATATCTCCCTCATGCAGCGCCTGGCTCAGTCCCCATCCATCAAAAGACAGACTCACACATCTTCACACAGGAACAAACACACTCTCTCTCTCCCCTTTTTCTTTTCCTTTTGTTATCTAATTTTCTCCCAAACGCAGAAAAAAAAACACTGCAAGCTCCCACTCATCTTTTTCCTATCACCGTCTCTCACATTGGGATTATGGTCATCGCTTTTCATACATGAGTAAACAGATTTCAGCGAGTCTTCTTTTTTTTCATCCGTAGACACACATTTTCAACTTAATATGCAGTTACAAAAAAGGAGAACAGAACCAAAACAGGCATGAAGCCTCCACACTTACACACACACACACACACACACACACAGCAGGAAGAGGAGGATGAGGGAGAAAAACCGGAGATGGGAAGGCTTTGAAGCAGCCACCTCCTCCCTCCAAACAGCACATCAGCAATCTCTCCATCTCTCTCTCTAGTCCTGACACACAGACACACACACACACACTCACACACACAGGGCGATTGCAATCACTCCACAGACATTCTCCCATCTGCTCTTTCCCACTTTTGCAATTGGTGGCTGCTAGACTCCCCAGCAGAGACTGCAAGACTGGGCACCCCAACACCTCCCGCCCCTCACCTCCCCTGACCTCCAACCCACACTCAGACACACACACACTTTTAGAGCTAATTCCATTATATATTCCTGACTGGAAGGAAGAGGGGCTGTCTTCTAATTGCTTTCTTATCCCCCTGAGTCCCCCCTCACTGTTTCCTCCTTTCCCTTCTCCCTCTCACCCCTCCTTCTTCCCTCCTTTCAGCCCGCCCCTCACCCTACGTGCACTCAACATGGCAGCAGACAAGCAGAGAAGGGAGGCGAGCAAGAGAGAAGAGAGAGAGGGAGGAGAGAGAGAGGAAGGCAGCCTGCTGCTGTCAGGGAATATTGGTGCCATTTTCAGCATCGCAGGGTGAAAGGATTGAGCCTCGCCGCCGTACGCTTGGCTCGGCTCGCCTCTGCTTGGCTCACCTCTGCCCAGACCGGCTGAACAAGAAGGGAATAGGAGGAAGGAGGGGAGAACGGCTGACCCCTCCTAACACAGGTACAGAGCTTCCACCTGTCATTTGTTTCCAAATGTTGTGGGGAATCTTGCAGAATGAAGTGATGGCAGTGAATGCAAAAAAAAAAGGGGGGCGTGTGTCTGTCTCACTGCCTGTCTGTGTGTACATCTGCACGCCTAATAGAGGACAGCAGGCTCTCTCTTGGGACTGCGCTCTATTTTCATTTTGCTGGGGCAGAGCATTTGCCTCCCACACAAACACACACACACACAAACACACCCACCAACACCTGCCTCGACCTTGTTTTCCTCCAGCATCTGTTCAAACAACCAGCATGGAAAACCAGCTCAATAAACACATGGATGTGGGAAGGATGCAAGCTTTTAAGCCTCAACTCTTCCCTTGGAGCAATCAGCATCCACAGTCTGTCAATGTGTTACGTAGTCTCATAACACGGCGCTATAAGTCGGCGCAGGGATGTGTCATAGCATGCTGTTTACTCTGACCATTGCATAAGCAGGGATCTGACATACACCCACATGCATGTGCATCCTGTCTAAGGCATGAATATGTTATGCTATGAAGTGGTTGCATCTTTCTTGTTTGCTTTTGAGGATTTTCTGTAGCTAGTGTGCTATTTTTAGTACAGCATGGACTTATATATTCTGGTCCTATGCATATGACTCATAAATGTTTTGTTGTTGTTCAAAAGCTCCTGTTTGACCCTGCTTTTATCACCAGCTTGTCATTAAAAATCTGCACTAAGACTGCAGTGTCACAAAACTGATGCTACCCCACAGCCGAACTGGCCCTGAGGTGATGGGGATGGAGAGGATGCAAGAGGAGGAGAGAGGGATAGAAAGGAAGAGGTGTGACGGAAGGGGAGAGTAAATAAAGGTGGGAGGGAGGTGGAGAACATGTGAGAGCGTGTGGGTGCGCAGCACAACAGGGAGGAGGGAGGGTAACGGCCGAGATAACGCAGAGAGAGGGTGCAGAGAGAAGTGTCTGGGAGAGAAACAGGGGTGAGATAGTGTTGGTGTGTGTGTGTGGCCAAGTATTTGTTACCTTTGTGGGGACAGTGTAAGGCCGGTTTTCCAGTAAACTGGTGCTCAAGCGGTTTAGGTTTAGGACTGAGATGTGAATAAAGTTTAGGTTAGGCTCAGTTGTGAATGTGAAATGAATGAAAGGCAATGCAAATTCCCCCTAAGGATAGTGGGACATAACGTGTGTGTATCCTGAAAGGAAGGCACTATTGATGAAAAAGATCAGTTTGGGAAATGAGGAGGAAGACGGATGTACAGGTGCATCAATTTAGATTGAATAAAAAAAAAAGAATTCTCAGAAAATGTCCATGTTGCATGAGAATAACTTAAATTGTAATCTAGAAATATTGTGGCTAACACACTGCAGGTAAGATTGCTGACTTGGCAGTCCAACAGACAGTTATTGACACCTTCCAGAAGGAAAGTAGGACACCATAGGTCATTGCTTGCAACGTTTACTGCTCCCGGGTACTGGATCCAAAAAATAGCAGGGAAAAGTTTAGTGGAAGGAAAAGAATTGTGAAAAACGCACCAAGGAATAATTTAGAAATCAATCTCAAACCAGTGATAGACAGCAGATAAACAATGTATAAGAGCAGCTCAGCCCAGCCACAGGCTGATCACCTTCATGTCCCACTGCAGTAATTAATTCAAGAGCAGTAGGATGTGAGTGCACATCCTGTTCATTACAGAGACATAATCTTCAGCTGGCACAAGACTTTATGTAATAAAATTTCTATTTTGTACAATATTATAAATTTGTAACAATTTGAATGTAAGCTTTTCATACATTTTGAGTCATAATCTTAAAAATAAACAGAAATAAACTCTTGAAAACAATTAGCTTCTCTAAATTCTCTTTAGGTATGAGTGTGTTCTTAATGGTTTGTTTCTGTGTTGCCCTGCGATTGACTCACGGCCTATCCAGGGTGTACCCCGCCTCTCGCCCGTAGACAGCTGGACATAGGCACCAGCACCCCTCGCAACCCCAGCAGGGTTAAGCATGACGGAAGATGGGCTGATGGACGGCAGCTCTTGAAAACAATCTGTGCAACAAATGTATATGAGTTTCACTTGTTGAATTGGATAACTGGGATGTTTTTCAATTGTTTCTCCATTAGCTGAGATGCATGGGTATTAATTGTATTCAATGCTGAATGTTTTTGTGTGATACAGAACTGAATATCAATGTTTTGTGTGCTGCTGATGGTGGAGGAAGTGTTTCTTAGAGATATGCGGAACAATGTTTGCAGTGTAAAAAGAGACAGATAAGACAGGTCACAAGATGCACAATCACTGACCTCGCTAAGAAAATGCAGAGAGTTTGCCCGACTTCATCTCCCTCCTGTATGATGCAACACAATGAAAGGAAGCTGATCATCGCTAAGAGCGGGAGTTACCAGAAAGCGGGTGTCTGTTTGTGTCTCAGGTGGTCAGTAAAGGGCATACTGGAATTGGAAACATGCTGTTCTGGTGAAATAGAAAGCAAAGGCTGCCCTTTGTGCATTTTTGTTTGTTTGTTTTTTTTTTCTTTTTTTTTCCTCCTCTTCCGTCAACCTTCCTTCGCAGTCCCCTGTTTTGATTAAAAACAAATTCATGAGTGGGGGGAAAAAAGCTTCCTGTCTGTAAGACGCCAAAACCTATAGGACAGCTCTCCTCCTCACCCCTAATCTCCCCGTCTTTCCATTGGTCTGCACCTGTATTTATATCGGCTTGCCCGTTTTCATAAATTTTAACCTAATACCTAAAGTCTAAGTTTGTGTCTGTGTGTTTCTAAGCAACACACTATAAGCCCCCAAGAGCCCATGTAATTGCCCAGAAGGCTCATGGTCATTTTTTCTGTGCTTGTTATTAAACACACGAGGAGATGGAGGAAAAAGAGATGTTTGTCCCTCATTAGTGAAAAGTGCTACAAACACAGACAAGGCTTCAGGGAGCAATGAATCCACGTATGACTCATATATTTGATGCTGAAAATTTGTGCTTTCTTTTATAAACGGGTTTCCTTAAATCATCTCTTTTAAGCTGTTTGTAAATTGTCTCCACTGATTTTGTAATGAAAGTGAAACTGGGTGTCTACCTTTCTGTTCAACTTGTGCAAAAGGATGGCTTGAGCTTCCTGAGGGATGAAGGGGTTGAAAAACAGTGTGCCCGAATGTCTTGCGGAGACCTGCAGCCTCAATTTATTTAACTTCTTAAAGTATTTGCTACGCTGCAAAACCTTGTAAATGACCCTATTTGGTAATCCAGCCCTCTGCATGCTGCAGTGAGCGTGTGCTTTGAATTTCTGTCCAGAGCACAGCACAAAGTAATGTTACAGTTTCCACAAACAGAAAGAAAGGTGATGTGAAACAAATCAATACGAAGCAGCGATAGCTACGTTTGTCATGATGCACAGCACCTTTCTTTTCTTTAACTTTCTCAGATTTTGTCACATTGAAACAAAGTAGTGCACATTGTGATGTGGAACAAAACAATATGGTTTCGTAACGTTTTTTAGATATAAAGATAAAAAGTTTATGTTACTACCTTCAAGGGATATGAACAAGAGAATGAGATCCTGGACAAAAGGTGTTAAAATAAGGTTCTTCTGCAAGGTGCCCAGGCACTCCCTTGGAGACCAGGTGAGGGGCTCGGGGTAGAGCTGCTGCTCCTCCTCACTCAGGAGAGTCATCTTAGGCAGTTTGTCCATCTGTTTCAGATGTGCCATGGATGTCTCCCTCAGGAAGTGTTCTAGGCATGTCCCACACAAGAGGCAAGGGCATGCTGGAGGCACTATGTGTCTTGTCTGGCCTAGGCACTCCTCTGTGTTCCCCAGGGGACCTAAAAGAGGTGTCAGGGGAGAGGGAAGTCGGACCGTCTCTTGTCCTTACTCTGATACCCCTAAATGAGATCCAGATTAGTCCATTGCCTTCAGAAGTTGCCCTATTAGTAAAGATAGTCCATCTGGGTGGATACGTTTGTTCTATGAAGCCATCAGAGGTTTATTAGAGAAGCTTAGTAAAGTGTGGAGCAGATATCCGCAGCCTAGCTGGGAAAAACACTCTTCAAATTTTGGCTTATGGATGATTGGCAAGAGGAAAATCATCAAACCGAAATGTAGTGTAGTTTGCTGTTTGCCATAGGACACAGAAAGGAATCTAGAAAAGTCGTGCTTCACATAACTCCAAACACATGGTTGCCATAGTAAAGCATGGTATGGCAGTATCATGCTGTGGGATGCTTTACTTCAGGTGAAGAGGGAAGCTGATCGGTGTTGATAAAAAAGGAGCTGTGGCTGCATAAAAAAAAGCCATAAAGTTTTTCATGTTAGTTTTGCAAGGCCCTGTGGCTCGGATAATCACACGGCAGCTTATGTGTTTATGAAAAATAACAGAGCACTTGAAATCTGCCAACTCCAAATTGTGTTTTCTATGGCTTTATTGTGAATTGCAGGCAAAAGTGTAAACACATGGTGTTGGCAGCATGATGTCGCGCCCAAACCCAAGGACGAACTGAAAGAGATCCTCTTCATCTCAGACACTTAGACTTCATCTTTATGGGCATACTGAGAGCAGGCGGTTTATATCCAGGACCTCAGATCATATGCAGAGTGACAGGGCGGGTACAGGCTGTTCCAGTGAACAGAATACTGTCGCTTCTAACCTAGATCTGATTACACACTGATGCCCCCTCTCGCACACACACACACACGACTGTGTTTGCGAGTGCATCTGGCCCACACTTGGGCCTTAATGCAGTTTGCAGGTAATATGTTTTTATTGGACTATCCCGGGCAGTGTCAGCGCAGTGTGTTTGTTGAGTGATGGCCAATGTGTTCCCCTCTGCAAGAGGAGAGGGAAGGAAAGAGGAGAGGAAGAGCAAGAGGTTACTGCAGGGGAGAGAGGGAGGAGGGGAGAGGAAAGGCTCATCTGTATGCTGGTTACTGTGAGCCGCTTGTTTGATCTTGAGGGAGTACTTAGTGCAGGATGGCGGGATGCTGCAGAGTATGGGAGGCA